AGGAATAGGAAAAAATGAAAAAAAAAAACATTAAAGAAAAATGAAAATGGAAAAAAGAAAGACATTGGAAGATAGCAATTTTTTAAAATCATTTTTTTAAACTTACTTGTGACCATTATGTGCATCGAGTCGTTTTCTTTCCAGATTTCTGTTGTTAAAATGATTGAATGCGTGGTAGATCCCATAACGTTGCCCATTAATGGCCGCCGGATAATCAAGTATTTTCACCGTTTCTTCAAAAATATAGAAAAACAATTAAAAACATACGGAATGTTAACTAAAAAGGGCAATTGACATTATTTTCCTTATTTAAAATAACAGGGATATCTACTCAAACACTGGTAACCACTAAATATAAAATTTATAGTAATAAATATATATATATATATAAAATAATAGGAAAGAACAGTGATATTTATAATTCAGATTTCTTAGCTTTTATTTTTATTTAAAAAAAAACAGTGATCAATACGATCCGTAGAGCTTAATATTATAATACATATATATATATATATATATATATATATATATATATATATATAGGCTGTCTCCTATTCCCTCCATCTTTCTCTCTCTACATGATGCCGCAAGCACAAGACATCTGTTTTCCCTCTACAAGACTTCTTAGTTTCCAGTGAACCACGTGTCGCATTGTACACAATACGACATACACATACCCTAATCTGATAACTACCAAAATAATAAATAGCGTATTTTCCAGCTTACAAAACGCTGCGGCTTGGAAGACGCACCCTAATATTGGAAAGAAATTTCCAAGAAAAAAGTCATTCTCATATAACAATACATTCACCATGCATCCCTCACATACTAGCGCAACCTATTGTTTACATTAATCACACGTCCGATTTTGTTTGTATGGCAATGACATACTAGTCAAGAGCAGGAAGGCTCTTGCCGCTGCTAGTAAACAGAACATGTTTAAGCTTGTGGCTCGGCTCCAGGAAGGTTTATAGTCTTGGAAATACATGTAACAGCTGAGGTTACATAACAAAAAAGGCTGAATTAGATAGCTAACATTATAATGTAATGACTCAACATAAAAATCTACGGCTCTATTCATTATTTTTCAGTTTATTTTTAGGAAAAAGGTGCGTCTTGTAAAGCGGAAGATACGGTAACTCTTTGCTAACATTAAGTCTCTCAACATCTACAATAGGACTTTACACACACTATACGCGCGTATATCTCAAGAGACACACTTCTATTTAACTCATTTTATATTTTTCCTGTTTAGTTTGCTAAGACAATAAAATGTGCAATATTAATTGTAATTTCATTCCAATCTACTAACATCCTATATCTATCACTAATATTCCTCTAGAAGTTCTACAGGTTTATTTTCAACTGAGTGCTGAGTGTTTCATAAATATGACCTTGTGTCAGGCATGGTCGAAAATAACAAATACCTATACTATAAACTTAGTTAATTTAGTAACTACTAACAGTAGAGCCCGGCGTTGCCCGGGGATGTAACAGTAAGAGATAGATCAAGTATCGACCATCATAAAGATTGAAAAATAAAATTGACAAAGGTCAATTTAAGGTTGACGGACACGAATGTCTTAATTAGTTTTTTTTTGTTTTTTTTTACGAATTGGTCAAACCCAAACTCAAACAAAAACATTGTTTTCAATCATTATGAGTCTACCGATTGAATAGAATTTTTTTTTAAACAATTGTCTTGTAAATGGAATATTTAAAGCATTCTGAATTTAAAAATAAAGAAAAAAGTGTGCAAGACAATAAGAAACACTACCTGCTAAAAAAAAAAGTGAAGTTTTGTTGAAATTGGTTGAAAAATATAGGAAATCTAATCCCATATATACATGAACACACAGACACAAAAACAACCTGGCTTTTATAAGTATAAATCCATATGAGTTGTCCCCCTTTCATTCTCGCGATTAATCGTGTTTTCAAATTTATTTTGCGCAAAAACAATTGTGTTTTTACAATTTTGGGCGCTGCTAGAACCACCGCAAGGTAATTTTGCGTAGTCCTGTGAAGTTTTGTTGAAATCGGTTGAAAAATGTAGGAAATCCGATCCAATATATAAACGTACAGACACACACACACACACACAATCTGCGTTTTATAATAAGTAAGATGATAATAATTTTATTGAAACATTTTGTTTTCTCTAAAATTCAGGTCAAACAGAGCCTCTACTTGTATAGGTGGGCCAACATGATATTAATTTTTTAAAATGTTTGGAGAACATCGGTAGTACCAACAGACATCAGGGAATATACTGATATTTCCTATTTAGAACAAGAATGGAGCAAGGTTGGGGAAAGCTTTATCACGATCACAAGTACCGTAACTATTTTTCGGGTGCAGAGCCTCGCAATGTACCAATCGTAGTTTTTTACTCCGGTTATATATTTAGAGATTCTTGATAAAATCAAAGAAGAATTTGCAATGTTATTGGTCCTGACCTGATATCTCGGCTTCAGTCACTTTCTACATCGTCGTAGAGCAGCTACCCTGTGATTGTTCGATAAATACATTCATAGTAATTGTTCTGATCAACTTTCCTGTATGGTACCTTGATTTCATGATTTAAGAGGAGTACTAGATTGGCAGCAAGGTCCCTCAAATTACAATTGAAGTGGTTAGATAGAACCGTAAGTTCTATGGTAACAGTTTCTTTTATCGCACTTCTTTCTTGTGGAACTTTCTTCTGCTTGTTGCTTCCTTGTCAAATTTAATCTTCAAAAGTTTTAAATGAAATGTAAGACATAATCTTCTTAACTATTATTCTTTTATCTCCTTAATAGTATGTTTTGTCATATTCCATAACCCTTGCGTCTTAGTGACTTTATTGCCTTATTTGGGGCTAAATGACTATATACATATATATATATATGTGTGTGTCATTCGGAGACAGTACTGTTTCGCAGCTCCTCAGTGCGACTCGACAACCGAATGGCTCAAGCTCGGATCGAAACCCAACCGATTTGGTGTCTGTCAGAGCTTCTATCACTGAGCCATCTTCACTCAATAGAACGAATCACCCAAAATTAGCGTATTGTTTTTACAAACGTAAACAAACGCCAAGCAGCCAAAGTGCTCCATTCATTTTACTGAAAAGCTTCGTATTTACGCAGTTGACTGCTGTTTTTTTAGAATTAGCTTGCCGTTCAACAGTGCTCAATTGAAAAATATATATTTTATATATATATATATATATATATATATATATATATATATATATATATATATATATATATATATAAAGAAAAGGTGCATACTCTTGTCAGTCTAGGACAAGATAATCTAACGGAACCCATCCTTCTCCAGGCTGATTTTGACTTCAGAGTCGCCCTTCTTCTAGGCTGGTTGCCTTAACAAACTTGAAGTGTATCAACATTGCTAGGCGAACAAGTGAGGAATCAGTTACCATTTATTATTCAGTTGCCATTAATGGACAAAATTATGGAAATTACCACAGATTTCACTCCCCCACACCCAGCCACCGTTAGCATCCCTGTGACTTTACCATGAATATTTTAATTGTAATTGTCTGATGAGCTTTCCTCCTTAATAACGTGATTTAGAACTTTAAGCGCAGTACTAGGTTGACAGTTAGGTTTCACCTTTTACAGTTGAAATAGCTAACTGTAACCGTAAGTTATATGCTAATAGTTTTCCCTGTCGCACTCCTCGCTTGTAGAACTCTCTTTCGGTGTCTTGCTTACCAGTCAACTTTGATCTTCAAAAATGTAAATGCAATATCAATCGTTATCTTTTGTCGTCATAATTCCTGTTCATTTATTGTTCCCTCTCCTTAAAAAGTTCTTTTTTAATATTTCTCCCATATTCTTTCACATTTAGTAACGCCATTTTCGTCTTAGTGGCTTTATTGCCTTGCTTGAGATATGATTGATTTTTTAACCTTTATCACTCTGCATTATTGTTTTTTCCATTGCATTCTTTTTCAAAGCCTCTCAATTGCAGTAACCTTATTGTAAATTTCACTCAAAGTTGTTTTCTGTTGCCATAGCAGGATATGACAAAACAATTATGAAATTTAAACAAATTCAAATTCAGATATCAGAGTCAGCTTCAGTGGCAGGATAAATTTGTTGTAAAGCAAAAAATATCTTTCCCAGGCGTATTTCTGCAAAAGTGAACACTATGATCACGGCCTGAATTCGAACTCGCTACGCTGATCCCATTTTCAGCGGTGGTAACGGCTACGCGAAGGGAACACCCGGTGCTACTGAGATTAGCTACGTGTATGTAAGAATGTTTGCTGGCATTTGTTTCAAGGCGAGAAAACATAAATCATTATTTTATTCAAATTAAAGAAGATTGTCGATGTGGCATTTTACAAACCAGCTGTTGTGGTTTTCAGTTCAGCTGAGGTATTCTTTCTATCTGTTGTCGCTTAAATGAATAAAAAAAACAACCAACTTTATTCGATATAAAAATGAAACAGCGACAACGTGATTCTATTTGCAATTCTTTTGCTGAGATTTATTCGGGCACCGATCGATTTGCCAGTGAATAAAATTTGAAAACATTTGGCTGCTCGAATTACAAAATATATTTCATTCTTACAAAAAAAAAACCTATCCTATTTATTTTTTTATTACTTTTTCTTCTATGGGTCATGTCTCTTCAGGATATTGGCGATCATGGTTCTCCACAAGCTCCTGTCATTTGTAGCTGTTAGTAATTTTTGTCTTTTTCTTAATTTCTCCTAAACCCTGTTCTACCATCCATTTACTCAAGCTCGCTCGATAGGTTATGAGTTGTAGATAGACAGATGCGAACAGACTGAGATAGACACTCATAGACAGATAGAGAGATAGTTTATTTAAAACAGGGGTACATACATAGATAAATCATATTTAAAAGAGATAGATAGATAGATAGATAGATAGATAGATAGATAGATAGATAGATAGATAGATTTATTTAATAGATAGATAGATAGATAGATAGATAGATAGATAGATAGATAGATAGATTTATTTAATAGATAGATAGATAGATAGATAGATAGATAGATAGATAGATAGATAGATAGATTTATTTAATAGATAGATAGATTTATTTAATAGATAGATAGATAGATAGATAGATAGATAGATAGATAGATCGTATTTAATAGATAGATAGATGAATAGATAGATAGATGATAGATAGATACGAACACTGAGATAGATAGATAGAGATAGATAGATAGATAGATAGATAGATAGATAGATCGTATTTAATAGATAGATAGATAGATAGATAGATAGATGATAGATAGATAGATAGATAGATACGAATACACTGAGATAGATAGATAGATAGATAGATAGATAGATAGATAGATCGTATTTAATAGATAGATAGATAGATAGATAGATAGATAGATAGATAGATTTATTTAATAGATAGATAGATAGATAGATAGATAGATAGATAGATAGATAGATAGATAGATAGATTTATTTAATAGATAGATAGATAGATAGATAGATAGATAGATAGATAGATCGTATTTAATAGATAGATAGATAGATAGATAGATAGATAGATAGATAGATAGATAGATAGATAGATAGATAGATAGATAGATACGAATACACTGAGATAAATAGATAGGTAGATAGATATGAACAGACTTAAACAGATAAATACAATAAACAGATTGACACAGACATCTATATCGACGGACTAACGCAAACAAAGACATACGCACTCACAGACATAGATAGATGTAAACAGATTCACACACACACACACACACACGCATATTGATAGATTGATGTGAACAGACTAGGAAAAACAAAGACACACTCACATAGATAGGTAGACAGATAGGTACAGGGTGCGATAGGTAAATTATCAACATTTTATATTTCTAATTTCGCGCATGCGCGTTGTTAATTTTTTTTTATTTTGTCGACTGTACAGTATAGTAGAGTCAGTCTCTAAGAAAAAGAGCCCCATGATGCAATCCACTGCGCCAGAAATATAGAAACGGCATGATGTCTTGCTTGGCATTCGCGCCGGAGGCTCCAATACGAATATTTCATAGTATTTGGGTGTCAATCTGAGGACAGTGCAGAGGATTCGGAAAGAGTTGGCTGAGTCTAATGGTGATTACGAAAGTACGGCAGCTCGGAAAACTTACTCTTATCGTTCTGAGAAGAAAAGAACTCCCGAATGTTCACATATATCGCTAGATAGATGTGTGTGTGTGCGCGTGAGTCAATCTGTTCACTCTATCCATCTGTCTATCTAAGTCTGTTCATATCTATCTACCTATCTATATATCTCAGTGTATTAATATCTATCTATCTATCTATCTATCTATCTCATTTTAAATATCTATCTATTTATTTATGTTTTAAATATGATCTATCTATCCACATATCTCGGTTTTAAATAAGATCTCTCTATGTATCTACCTACCTGTGTTTTAAATATGATCCATTTATCTCTCTCTCTCTCTCTCTCACTCTCTCTCTCTCTCTATATATATATATATAGAGAGAGAGAGAGAGAAATGGAGTTTTCATTTATTAATCTACCATATTCAGGCCGGTAGATGGAAATAAATAAATATACTGTTTAATAAATAAATAAAAACAGAACATCTACTCAAATATGAGTATCCATTTATTAAAAATAACGTTTAAACAAATAAACTATATACATATATATATATATATATATATATATATATGCACATTTCATTAAAAGCGACAGACAAGGTGCTTTTATTTAGTTTTTTATACAATTTCTCATGCAATCTAATAATAAACATGATGAATGCAGAATTAAGAAAATTATAAAAAAATGCATAATACCTGTTGACAATAGCAAAAAAATTAGATTAATTATTTATTATAAAAAATTTAAAACCTCTAACCGTATAGTTAAAAATAATAATTCACAAAATTAAATAGGGCAAATATTATTTACGAATTCAAATGCCCATAAAGGAATTCTATTCCTCAACAATCAACTTTCGTAAATAATTATATAGGCCACACTACAACATGTTTAACACGCAGACTAACTCTACACCTTTCTGACAATAGCTCAATTAAATCTCATTTAAATATTCATGGAGACCTACCGGACACTATTCGGAACATACTTGTTGACAACAATAATATAATAGCATCATCCACATGCAAAAAAAAAGGCTAAAAATAATGAAAGCCTTATTAATAAAAACAAACAAACAAACACTTAATAATATTAACTTTGAACATGGACATAATATCTTGACCGTGTTTTGAAACAAAAAAAATGAAAAAATATTATAAAACATACATACAACAAACTATTTCTAATTTTAGCATTTAAAATATAATCCTTGAAAATGGCTAAATGTATAGCCGAAAGCGCTCGGATAAAAAGAACATTCGGACAGTTTTTATATAATTTATCATCCGAAAAGAAAAAAATTATTAGATCGCATGAGAAATTGTATAAAAAATTAAATAAAAGCACCTTGTCTGTCGTTTTTAATGAAATGTGCATGAAAGAAGGATTTATTGCTGGTAATATTTTTACAAAAATGTATTGCTGGTATTAAAACCTATTTTTACACTTTCATAGTATTTTGACCCAGGTTTGGGGACTAACTTTTTGCCCATAGCTGGGACCCTAACATATGCTACCACCTTGGGTCAGGTGGACCTGGGAACATCAGCAATTAAGAGGTGGTCCCATGCACCTCAAAACCTCCCGATCAGAGGCCTTGCTGTTGGATGTAGTTTCTCGTCTTACCCAGGACGCGGATGTAGTTTATCGTCATGCCTAGGACGCGGATGTAGTTTCTCGTCTTACCCAGGACGCGGATGTAGTTTCTCGTCTTACCCAGGACGCGGATGTGGTTTCTCGTCTTACCCCAGGACGCGGATGTAGTTTCTCGTCTTACCCAGGACGCGGATGTAGTTTCTCGTCTTACCCAGGACGCGGATGTAGTTTCTCGTCTTACCCAGGACGCGGATGTAGTTTCTCGTCTTACCCAGGACGCGGATGTAGTTTCTCGTCATGCCTAGGACGCGGATGTAGTTTCTCGTCATGCCCAGGACGCGGATGTAGTTTCTCGTCTTACCCAGGACGCGGATGTAGTTTCTCGTCTTACCCAGGACGCGGATGTAGTTTCTCGTCTTACCCAGGACGCGGATGTAGTTTCTCGTCATGCCTAGGACAGCCTGCCATCTGGTTAAAATGACGAAATAGTTGACATCAATAACAAGTGATAATCAATAACAAATGACTTCAATCCGGCGTAACACGTGGAAATGAAAGAGTGACGTGTGCGCGTGTGTGTACCAGCGGAAATGTGTTTACATGGGCACACAGAGAGAATGCAGGTGTGTATGTGTGGATGTTAAACTAAAGTGATTGTAAATCAGTGACGTCACACTCGCTAACGCAAACACATACATAGTAAGGAATAATATAAAATGTTCACTTATCTGTGGTTCGTTGAAGGTGTGTACACTTGCCTGGGGAGTGGCTTGACTGTAAAATTTTACTACGTGACCCCCAGACAAGTCTTTCTACTCTCTAATTTTAGCATTTCAGTTTCGATGCTGTAATAGGGCTACACAAACATAGCCTATACAGCAGAACAGATTAACAACATGAATTAACCCTAAAATATACACGGGTATAATTTAACTTTACCCAGAATAACCAGCAAAGTATGACTAGGGCTAGCCTACTTCATACCTCGCGGTATACAATATGAATGCGGGACTAAACTTTACTCCCCGTAGGTCAGTTTATACTCCGTTTTATGACAAGTATCAACAAACTCTTGTTATTAATTAGAATATTATGTAATAGCTCCTGTTCACGAACTTTTAAAACTGGCTGAGAGGAATTAATCTTGTTCAATTAATATAGATGTTACGTAAAATTAAACAGAATGCTCTTGAGTAGACAAACTTGATCATAATAAAAGCTTACTAGTTGTACCTTTGAAAATTTTGTAGGTTTCCTATTTGAATTTTCTGATGAATCGTAATTCTTAAGTTAATGATTGAATTCCCGTTGAAATTTCCCTATTGCATCGTTAAATATTTGAGATTAAGAACTTTAACAAAATATAACAATAACACATAACAATATATAAAAAATATATAACAATAACAATATATAACATTATATAACAAAATACAACAATAACATATATAACAATATATAACAATAACATACATAACAATATATAACAATATATAACAAAATATAACAAAAATATATACCAATATATAACAAAATATAACAAGAACAATATATACCAATATATAACAAAATATAACAATAATATATATAACAAAATATAACACTAAGATATATAAAAATATATAACAATAATATACATAACAATATACAACGATATATATAAAAAAAAATATAACAACAATATATACCAATATATAACAAAATATAACAAGAACAATATATACCAATATATAACAAAATATAACAAAAACAATATATACCACTATATAACAAAATATAACAATAATATATATAACAAAATATAACACTAACATATATAACAACATATAGCAATACATAACAATAACATATATAACAACATATAACAATATATAAACAAAATATAACAATAACATACATAACAATATATAACAACAATATAGCAACAACAATATATACCAATATATAACAATATATAACAAAATATAACAACAATAATATATACCAATATATAACAAAATATAACAAAGTATGACAATAACATACATTACAATATATAACAATGAATAACACTTGAGAATGAAACGTCTGTAATAATTAATAACCCCAATGTACCTTCTTTGTTGTCTCCGTGAATTAATCGCTGGAAAAATTTTATTGCTTTTATTTTAGATGTCAAAGGAGTGATACCGGTTGTATCAAAATATGATGTCCCAAGAAATCTAGTGACGGGACGCCAAGTATTCATTCCCATACATTTATCTTTAAATCACAATAATTAAAACGTTCAAATATTTCCTGAATGTTCTTCTATAGAATTAATTGTAACTAAAACATCATCTATATACGCGTAAAGGAACGGTAGACCACGGTGGAGTAATGGATAGCGAGTTGAGGAATCTATTCACTTACGTGCTAATATCCTTGGGTAAGGTATGAATCCTCTTCTTCCCCCCCCATCCAGTTATGGGTAAACAGCAGGACAGGCCGGGTTCTATAGCCTTGGATGGCAACTGATATACTGTAGAAATAAATGGCAAACTACTGCGGGAAAAAAATCTGCCTCGTCAGTCATGTATCGAACGATACATGATCGTCTAAGCGTGTAACACGCATGGCACATAAGTGACTGATATTCACTTACGTGCTAATACCCTTGGAAAAGGTATGAATCCTTGTCTTCTCCCCCAGCTATGGGTAAATAGCAGGACAGACACATAACTGAGACCACGTAGTACATCGTTCATAAATCTTTGGAAAGACTGGGCCGCATTTCGTAATCCGAATGGAAAACGAACGAATACAAAAAGGCCGAAAGGTGTAGTTACAGTAGTTTTAGCTATATCTTCCTCTGCTACAGGGATTTTATGATAGGCCCGAACTAGATCAATATGGAAAAAAAATTGTTGCCCCGGATAAAGAGGAGGAGAAATCATGAATATGTGGAACAGGATACTTATCCGGAATTGTAGATACATTTAATGCTCTGTAGTCACCACATAGTCTCCAGTCATAGCTTGATTTCTTTCGTACCATACGAAGAGGGAATGGTCATGGACTCCTGGATGGACGAATGATAACAAGATCAAGCGTATGTTGAAATTCTGCGATTTTAAATTTGGGGGGATTTAATCGATGTGGTCGATCATGCATACTGTACTGTACTGATGCGGCATTCACCCTGGGCGGATTGAGCCGGCTTCTTCCTGTTATGAGAAGAAGATTCTTGGGATAAATTGCAGAAGTAGGGTACCCAGGCCTACTCGGATAACGTTCTTGCTTGCCGCGGGGTTCCCACAGACGCAGAGACAGGAACGACCAGAAGTCGCCGGTTACCGATGCAGACGCTCCTTGGATTTTCACCAGAGCCCTTGTTAGCCGGCGTGTGTGTCAGACCTGTCCGCCTTGGGTGGCCCTACCAGGAACTAAGTTCCAGGCGGCATAGCTCTGACACTACCGTTTAACCCCCCACACACACCGACTGTGAGGTAAGGGTTGGACTTATAGGCAGACCACGAGTCGAAGTATGATATTTAATGTGATGGTTAATACTGTCACTGTATGATATTGGTTTGGTTATATTAAGGAATTTCTTTAAAGTATTTGAATGGATGGAGTCAAATGGCATAGCCGAAAGGATGCCCGTTGTATGAGAATCTGAAATTGTTCCAGAAACAGGTAAATTTGTGTTGTTGTCAATCAAGTGATATTTGTTCATATTAACCGATAGATTGAAAGAAAGAAATTTCACCTGAATTGTGAGCTTTTCTTATTTTTGCTCGGCACAAAAAATTAAAAGTGTGTTTATGTTAATTAAGTAAAAACGTTGATACGGTTTTTTAGACACTTCCCAACGGAACTGCACGCAGGGATCACCAACCCCAGGCTGATATCAAGAAGACACCTCCCTAACAAAGATGGCCCGAAAGTGAACGTTTAAACTGCCCAACCACGTGCTCACATGATAATGTGTTAGAACATATACGGCTTTTGAAGTTTTTTTTTCGGAATAACTCAACGAAATCTCTGAATAATTAAAATAAAATCTAAAAATTTTGATACTCACCTGCCTCTGCGGGACACTTGGGTATACGTTTCACTGATCTGTTTGACAACACATCATAATACCAAACTGCACAACCGTTCGCTGGTTTAGGGAGTCGAGAATAAGGTGGGTCTGTGGCTATATTGTAAGAGACTCGAACCTGTGACTCTTCATATTCCATATCAAGACTAAGATATGAAGGCCAATGCTTCATATCATGCAGCCAGCCTCGGAGTTTAACGTTCGCTATAAGCTTCGAATGAGGATTAAATATGTCAGGGCGATAAACAAAATAGTCCGGTAAGATGACGACGGTGTTGTGCGTTTTCAATTTTTTCTCGGGTATGCAGTTCCAGTTATCACGAAATATAGTTTTCTGTATGTGTGCCGATGTGTCCACCTGAAAAATGGTAATCAATTGTCAAAATCCATTTAGAAGTAACTAAACTGTCTGCTCCATACAACCGCTTTCTAAGATCAATAGCTAAAAATGGCTTTGAGAGAAGGACGCCTGTGGTTCAAAGTGATGATCACACTTCTTCGAAACTTGTGAACTGACGCTACCGAATCACAAAGATCTGTACTAAATAACACAAACCACATAATTTGAAGACTTTCAATAGCAGCAATACACACACACATTATATATATATATATATATATATATATATATATATATATATATATTATCCCGTGACCCGTTTCTTGGACAAGATATCCAGGCCGGTTTTGAATTCAGAGTTTATCCTTCTTCTATATTAATTGCCATACAGGGTTATAGAACCCAGTTTTTCCTGCTATTTACCTATAGAAGAAGAGAATTCATACCTATACCAATTATACCATATTAGCACGGAAGTGAATGTAATGGATTTGATTGGAATTCGAACTCGTCCCTCCGATTCCTCAATCCGAGCCGCTCCACTATGCCCCCCCTCTCTCTCTCTCTCTCTCTCTATCTATATATATATATATATATATATATATATATATATATATATATATATATTATAATTTTATCATAGACAAAACCATTTTACTCACTACAAAGATGCAGCTTGGTTTCAGCGCATTTCAACTGCACTTCGACGGGTGATAATCGAAAATGGTTTGGATTAATGCTGTGAACGTTAGAATTTATATATTACTTTCGTTCTCATCGCATCGGATATATATATATATATATATATATATATATATATATATATATATATATATATAGTCCCGGTCAAAAGTATTGGAACATCAAAAACAATTTCAATTTGTTGTTCATTGAAGACATTTGCATTTGAGATCAAGAGATGAATATGAGACAAAAGTTCTGAATTTTAGCTTTTATTTCCTGGTATTTATATTTAGATGCATTAAACAGCCTTTTGTATCAGGTCATCCCCTTTTAAGAAATACACTATCGGTCAACAGTTTGGAGATCTACCCTGTGGATTCCTTTACGTCTACTCACTTAAACCCAGGACTAAAACCAAAAGTAGTCATTCAGAGCTACTTAATGATTAAATAATCAATCTAAAATTAAATACCTTGGCCACAAGAAACTCCTGTCAGTCACGTGTTCCAACAGTTTTACTCACTTGAAAAATGGGTGGGTACAAACAAAAGGTGGTACGTTCTATGTTGTTAACACATCTAAATGTAAATATGAGGAAATAAAAACTGAAATTCTTCACTTTGGCTCATATACATCTTTTGATCTTAAACCCAAACGTCTTCAGGGAACAAAAAAAAACAAAGGAATCTGTTGGCTGAGGAATTTTAATTTTAGTCAACCCCACTCTCTACAATATAGGTGAAATAGTTTCAATATATTTGCTTAGTAGGATTTAAATAAACAAACGTAAACATGAAACTGACTAATTATTAAAGCCACAGGGTAGATTTCCAACCTGTTGAACGATAGTGTATTTCTTAAAATTGTACAAAATGAAATCATGTCAAACACATGAGACCATCAATACTGGAAAGCTCGAGTTATTTTGTCTTTTTTTTATGATTTATCAACTCTTTGTAGATTATTTAAAACTGAAACATATTTTGTATTTCAAGAGTACTTTTGCGAGTGAATTGCACTTAAATTTTATTTAAATAAATATTTTTTTTTATAAATACAAGTTCTATTGTTTAACCTATAACCAGTAGGGAGAGGTTGATTCATAACTTTCCAAAAGGTATTTGAGCGTAAGTGGATATAATGAACTCGACTGGAATTAGAACTCGGCTCTTCGATTTCTCATTCGGAGCTCTCATCCATTACACCACCCGTGCATCCAAGCTTACAGCACCTGATATTCCTAAGTGACCGTACATCTAGGTATTGACCAGGCTGTTGAGAAATCACAAAGGGGGCAAGGGTATCGGGCAAAGATAAAGAATAAAGGACATCATAGCAGATTACTGTCAATACAAACTCAGATCGGCTGAATACGTCGCATGATTCACTGACCGATGGGTCGAAGCGTACAGTTGCTGAGTGGTACATGCGCAAGTGGAACAGACAATTGGGAACGACTCTATTAAAATGGGAAGACAACCCCAGCAAATGGAAGTTAACCTACATAGAGAAGAACGGCAAAATCCTAAACGCAGTGGATGCAATGGTTTAACCGGGATTGGGGGGGGGGATTTGAATCAACACTTGAAGTAGCCAAAGGATCAAATAGAATTAAAAGATCAATACTCAGATGAGCAACTTCGTACTAGCCGCTTGCTGCTCTTCACTACGGTTTTTTTTTTCTGAAACTGAGATAATATATCAAAAGGTTAATATTCCTATATTTGGCGTAGTTTATTTTTATCTAGCTACAGTCGAGAAAGGCTATGAAATATTGGTGTATCATTTTTCAACATTTTTCCAAGGTAATTTTGGTTCATTCATTCAGTCCGTGATTTTCTACCGCTATCAGCACTTTGCAGGTTATCTAAAGCCAGAGAATATTATTTCTTTTAAATTGTAACAGTTTTTGAGATAATAATGAATTAATGAAACAAGTCTCACTAATTAACCCATAGCTGGGGGGAAGAAGTGGATTCATACCTAATCAGGATTTGATAAACAAACAAGAACTTATAATTTGGATATAAAGTTGGGGGTCAATTCTATATTACAATCAATATATAAACTGATCCCTCACTTTGTGAACACAGCAGTTTCTTCACATTTATATTCCAGAGAATGTAAATAAATAAAAAAGACATGTCTGTGTATCTAATCAGTATTTGATTGATTGTTTCATTTATTACGGTTTATCAACACTTTGCAGGTTATTTAAAAAAATTATAATGTGGATATAAAGTGGGGATCAATTCTATATTACAATGAAAATATAAACTGAGCCCTCACTTTGTAAACACGGTAGTTTCTACAGATTTGTATTCCAGGAGAATGCAAATAAATCTAAAAGACATGCTCGTGTATCTAATCAGTATTTGATTGATTGATTCGTTTTTACGGCTTATCAACCCTTTGAAAATTACTTATATCCAGAAAGAATTTTTTTTTTAGATGAAAATGATTTAGTGATACAAGTCTTACTAATTAACCCATAGCTGGGGAGGGAGAAGAGGTGGATTCATACCTAATCAAAATTTGATAAACAAACAAGAAATTCTGTGAATATAAAATGGGGGATCAATTTATATTACAATCAATATATAATTTGATCCCTCACTTTATGACCACAGGAATTTCTATATCTTTATATTCCAGAGTATGTAAATTAACCTAAAAATCATGCCTGTGTAGATAATCAGTATTTGATTGATTTGTTTTCTATGGTTTCTGTACACTTTGCAGGTTATTTAAAGTCAGAAACTGTTTTTTATATTGTAAGATTTTGTGGGGAGATAATAATGGTTTAGTGATATAAGTTTTACTAATTAAGCCATAGCTGGGGAGATGATTTGGATTCATACCTTTCCCAATAATAAATGAATATAACGAACCCAAATGGAATTAGAACTCGGCACCCCGATTAAAAATTCCGACCCAATAACCATTATACCACCATCCTCGCTTACAGCACATGGTATTCGCAAGCGGTCACCCATCGAGGAAGTGACTAAACTTGACGTTGCTTAACTTCGGTGATTGTACAGGAACCGGTGTTTCAACGAGATGCTACCGTAAGCCAACATGATTTTAACGAAATCTTATATTTATATAGCGATTTAATTAACAAAGCTTAGATGTGGCACAAGGCCGAAAGTATGGAGCACCCAGTAATTGATCTAGCGAAATAAGCTTGCTAACGGTTATACCACGTCGGAGTGCTCAGCGATTTACTAAGTATAGCTTAAATGTGGAAGAATGTCGAAAGTATAGAGCACCCAGTGAGGATTAAACTCTCTACTCAGTCATAATTGATCTAGCGAAATAAACTTGCTAACAATTACACTACTTTAGAGTATCCAGCGATTTACTAAGCATAGCTTAGAAGTGGCACAAGGCCGAAAGTATGAAGCACCCAGTGAAGATCGAACTCACAACCCAGTCGTAACTGATCTAGCGAGATAAGCTTGGAAATCATTACATCACATCGAAGTGCCAATCGTGTTTAACAGGATGGAATATTCTATTCAAATATAAGATGTATAACAACATAATCAATAAATGTTGTATGAATGCAGTTTAACACTAAAATCACCAACTACAGCAGAGACTACAGTCCAGTCAGAGGCATAGGATTAGTATGGCTAGGCGTTCGTTTCCGAGTATCCCTCACTTTATGGACACAGTAGTTTCTTCACATTTATATTCCAGAGAACGTACAAGAAAAGCCCAGGAAGAGACACAAGGAACATGATAGACTACATAACAATCAACAATAGATTCAGAAATGTAGTTCTATATTTTAAAAGTCATCCAAGCAACGTCTCTTGAAGCGACCACCAGACAGTCATACACAAACTCAGATTAAAATTACGGAAATTAGAAGAGGTGAGTAATTCAAATTGAACTACCTTAAGAGAAGCTTTGGTGAGATCAGAGAACGATATAAAGAGAGAACAGAAAAAATGGATGGCAGACTAAATTTTTCGCTCATGAAAAAGAGACAGCAAACAATACCAAGGAAAGGCAGAAAAAAAAGAATGGTAAACAGAAACATTAGATACAAATGCAAGCAAGCGAAAGACGAATGGCTCAATTCGAAGTGTGCAGAGGGAGAGAAAAAAGGAACATCGAAACAGCATGCACTTATAAAAGCATAAAAGAAATAACAGGACAAAAGACGTGCTCCTCGACAAGTGCATAAAGTCTAAAAAAAAAAGAAATGCTCAGTATAAAAAAAGGAAAAGATACTTTGAAGACAGAACGAATACATTGGACAACTTTTCTGACGATAGAGAGAAATCTACAATGCTTCAAAACACGGAGAGCGTGCAATAATAAGATTTCAAGTGGGATGAACACCAGTCAAGGTGAAGAAATGAAAAGCAGAAGGACTAGATGGGATTGTAATCGGCATACTGTCAGCCTTAAACGATTTCGAGATCAACAAGATTACGGAAATAATAAATGAAATATACGACAGTGGCAAAATACAGGAAGAACTTAGTATATCCATTTTCATAGTCATGCCTAAGAAACCAGGTGCAAGTGAACTCCATCGGATGATTAGATTAACTAGTAGTGCCTGTGATAATTTCACGGTTTCCTTAAGTGAATTATGTGATGAATGTTAATTCTTAATTTAATGATTAAATAAGCTCATGGCGAGTTTGATGACAATAAAATATCTGTGGAAATTTCCCTATTGCATCGTTTGAACTTAACAACTTTAACAAAATATTGCCACAATCACAAGTATGAATGTAGGTCAGTCTTTAAAGAAGTAAGAGGCTACAAATGAAAAGGTTTGAAATTGACAAGTTTTCCCATTTGAGTGAAACAAACATTAAACATATGTAAATGTTATCTCCTCCTCAGGATTCTTTTTCTTTCTCTTTTTTTTTCTTTCCGTTTTTTTTTTTCTTTCTTTCTTTTTTCTTACGGAAACCAAATAGCGTCTCTCTGGTGTCATTTCTATCTTCGCTCGCGGTCAAAAGGAAATAGTTCATTATTTATGAGGTATCAGCAGAGCGTAACGTACGCACTAAGTAACTCAGCAAGGAACATAGGAGGAGCAAGCAGAATTGTAATTTGCCGAGAAACACCACTAAACTTATCATTTGAATTCTCATAATCAGAACATGTTTTAGAATTTAAACGGACATAGAAAATAACATTGTAACTTCGCCTCAGACATCGGAACATTTTTATACTGATTAACTCAATACAAGGCTCAAAAGTAACTAAACTAAAAGTTACTGATTAAAATGGTTTTGATGGGTGAGATGTTATGAGTGAAAGATAAGGTTGTAGGATATGAAAGTTATGAGGATAAGGAGGATAGATAAAGGTATTTGTAACTGCAAGATAATACGCAGCTTTTATCAAAATCTGTCACAGATTTGGCTGTGATGCACGGGCCTGATATACCTTACCAGACTAGGTGACATCACGGGGACATTGAGCTCCATATATGGAGCACCTCGAGGTGGTGTAATGGTTCGCAAGCTTATCTCGCTAGAACAATTACTTTCGGCCTTGTGCCACATCCGAGCTACGCTTGGAAAATCACTATTGAACTCCATATATTTGTTGGCGTTACTACTACTACTACCACTAATAATAATAATAATAATAGAAATTGTGTATCAGATTGAACGGTATTAGCATGTACAGAATATAAAACACGGTATGACAAGGTGGAACAATATCTGCACTGAAAGATCTAAAACTTTTGCGGGTAAGAAACTGAAAGAAATAGGTATGAAAACCACTCATACAAAGAACCTGTAACAATTTTATGGAACTTTACAATACATACATACAGAACAATCAATGCTAATCACCCAGACATGGTAATCAAAGACCACAAAAACAGTATGTGCTTTCTTATTGATATGGCAGCTCCTGCAGATTACGATTTATGTTTGAAGATCTTTAAAAAAAAAAAAAAACTATCAAAGCACAAGGACCTTGAAATCGAAATCTCCAAAATGTGGCACATGAGAACTTCAGTAATTTTAATTATGGTTTGTGTCCTGAGTTTGAGTGGAAATGTTCCGATAGATTCATTGAAGGGATTTCCTGGCAGCCTATTGCCATAAAAATACAAAAAACAATTATTCTCACAAGCACAGATTACACCGTACGAAAGGTTTTATCAATGTAAAATGTGTTTTTTTTTTTTATTTATTTATTTTATTTTTTTTTTACAAAGATGTTCTGTGGAAAATATGATCCCGTTTTTAATCTTGGGTCTCTGGTTGGGACACGTAAGAAAATAGTATACAACAATATTCAAAGGAAACAATAATAATAATGATAATAATAATGTAATATCTTACTTACAATAATTTGTAGTCCCACCATACTTTCTTCATGACACTTATATTCGGTGACCAAAACCATTGATTTGGTTAATTTTGGAGGGACGTTCAGAACTTTTATATAATCCTGTTTATCTGTAAAGTAAGCATCGTTTAGCACGACGGATATTTCTTCTGGTCGTTTCCCGGGGATCTGAAATATTAAAAAAAATAATAAGGATAAAGAGGTTAGAAGAAAGAAAAACAATGACAGGTATTTGAAGCCTTCCGTTATCAAAATAGCACAAGGACTGAACATCTGAGTAAGGAAAAGGTTTCGGGGAAAATGGAAACAAAAACGACGCTTATAAAAGATCATTGATATTTGTTGTGCACATAATAAGGAAAGAGGGCTTGGAAATTTTGATACTCACAGGACATAATGAAGGCAAAAGGGACAGAGGTAAGCAGCAAACAACATACTTAACGAGCGTGTGTAAATGGTTGGCAGAACAGGGATTAGGAGAGATCACAAAAGGACAATTTATCAAGAACTGCAAATGACAGGAAATGGAGAGTTATAATGACCCACCTCATGAAGGGACATGATGCATAGTTTTGTTTTATTATTTTCTTGTTGACATTCCGCTAATTTTATGTGAGCATTATCAAAACCGCGTAAAAGAAGCGGAACACTAACAAGAAAATAAAATAAGATTTTTGCATCCTACTGGTGTTCACGTATTTTATTTTATATACTTTGATTGGATAATTCATATATCATCTATCATATATATATATATATATATATATATATATATATATATATATATATATATATATATATATGGAGAGCGGTAATGCAATGTAATTTGCCCTGATCTGGCATCCCGTCTGCAGTTACTCTCTCACATACGTGCCGTCGCCTTCCTCTGTGTTTTTTTACAAATACTTTCTCCAATGAGCTGCTTTCGCTTGTTCCCAGACTTCATGAATTTAAGCGTTCTACGAGGCTGGCATCCCGCTCTCACCCTTTCACTGTTGAAATTATTAAATGTAGCCGTCTCTTCTAATCCAATAGCTTCATATCTCGCACCTCTCGCCTGTGAAACTCCCTTCCCTATTCCTGTTTCCCTGAGAGCTATAATCTCCAACTATTCAAATGTAATGTCAATCGACATCTCCAGTTGCCTTGATCTATCCACTATCCTTCTCCTCATCCTTTCCTCTATCACTCCTATCTGATCTTGCTCCAAATCTTCTGTAACCTCTTGCGTCCTAGTGGCTTCCCGACTTGCTTGGGGTTAAACGCTTAAATAAAAATAAAAAAAAACAAAACAGCCCTTTTCGGCGAATTATTTTGTCATTTTCAAGAGAAAGGGTTACTTTTAGTTGTTCGTATATTTATTTGTTAATGTTCTATGCTGTATCGTATAGAAGCAGTAGTAATTTTATTCTGTGTCGTATAAGTGATTAGTAGTAGTAGTTATGTTGATTTATGTATACGTGTGTGTATGTTTGCGTAGTGAGAGATAGAAAGAATTAAATTCAAAGAAAATCCGGCATTGCTGACAAAGCTAACTTGGCCGTTGATCTCGAAAAAGACCTCCGATCAGTGGTTAACTGGGGCAGAAAATGGCTCGTAAATTTTAATGCCTACAAAACGAAACTGCTCTCATTTAACTACCGTAGATAAACTTCCCTGCCCTCTATCAGATATAGTTGAAGCTCAACTCCACGAGAGCCTCAAGTTTTCCACTGACTTGAGGTGGAACAACTACATTAAATCAATAGCTGCATCTACTGCAAGGAAAGTTGGTTCTCTGTTTCGCGTCAGAAGGTTTTTCTCGTCCATCCTTCAAATCTACAAATCTATCTTTCGTCTATGTATTGAATACTGTTGCCATAAATGGTCAGGTACCCTGCTGTTCATCTCAAGGTCCTCGATAAAATGCAAAGAAGGATCTGTAATGTAGTCGGTTGTGACTTGGCATCACGACTCCAGCCACTTTCTCACAGACGTGCGTGGCTTCCTTCTGTCTTTTTGACAAATATTTTCATGGCAACTGCTCTGACGAGTTATTATATCTGGTACCCTGACTACATGAATTTAAGCGTGCTACTAGATTGGCATGTATGTCCCACCTTTTTACTATTGAAACAGTTAAATATAACCGCCACTTCTACTACAACAGCTTCTTCTATTGTACTTCCCGACAGTGGAGCTCCCTTCCTCTTACTTGCTTCCTTGATAACTATAATCTTCAAAAATTTAAATGAAATTGTCAATCGTTATCTTCTGATGTCTTGACCCCAGTTCTTCTTTTTATTCTTTCTTCAATCCCCCGTATACCCAGTCTTTTCTCTTACTTTCACTCTCTGTAACCCCCCTGCATACTAGTGGCATTCCCGCCTTGCTTGGGGTGAAATGCTTAAAACAATAATATTGTGTATAATTTAATAATTATCGTTAAGCGCAGTACTAGTTTGGTAGTTAGGTCTCATAATTTCCCAGTTGAAATTACGAGATATAACTGTAAACTCTATGTTAATAGTTTCTTCACTCGCATTTCGCGCATTAAAAAAATATCTTCTGGCTCCCAACTTTCTCGTCAACTAGGATCTTCAAAAACTTAAATCCAATGTCACTCATCATCTTCTGTGTCTTTGAATTCTGGTCTTTTATTGTAATCTCTCTCCTCAACGATTTTTCAGTTTCTGTCACTCTGAGTAAATTCTAACGTCTTAGTAACTTTATCGCTATGCTTGGGGTGAAATGATTTAACACACACACACACACACACACATACTTTTGTAATGTTATGCATAATCGTAATATAAATATGCATTGAGATGAAGTTTAAGATACTTGAAGGAAAAAACTTACAAGCGTTTCCTCTTTCGTAACATCCAACGAAACATATATAAATAAAGTATTGCTACCATTATATACAGGTTGCCGCCCTTTTATATGTTTAATTTCGCGCATGCGTGTTGTTTTTATATTTTGCCGACTCCGTAGTATAGTAAGTTTATTTGAGAAAAAAGAACCATGATGCAATTCAACCCGATAGAAATTTGGAAACGACATGCTAAACTGTTTGGCATTCACGCCAGAAGCTCCAATACGAACATTTCAAAATGTTTAAGTGTCAATCTGAGGAAAGTGCAGAGGATTCGGAAAAAGTTGAATGAGTTTAATGGTGATTACAAAGGTACGATAGCTCTGAAAACAACTCGTTCTTATCGTTCTGATAAGAAAAGAACCCCTGAAGATGTTGGTGACGGCCTCAGACTCAACACGAGAGGCCTACATCGAGTGCCTTAAGGAAGTAATTCTGTCCTGGGTCAACAGGGTAGCTGCCGAAAGGCCCTATGTCTGACATCAGGACTTTTCACCATGCCACACAAGCAGGAGAACCCATTAATAGCTGTCAGATAATTTCTGCAACCAGACCACCCCTTACATCTGACCGCCTAACTCCCCAGACTGCAACCCCCTTAATTTTTATGCGTGTAGCGCAGTTGAGCGAGGGACCAGCAAAATTCTTTGTAACTCCAAAGATGAACTGAAAGCAAGGATCATGGCAGCATTCACCAACTTAAACAAGAAGAACATCCAGAAGAGTTGTAGAAGATTCTGAAGTTGTCTGGAGGCCGTGGTTGAATCCAATGCCGATTTTATTGAATAGATTTACTCTTTAGTATTTCAAGATATTTTCGTGTAATTTTGGTAAATTTATCTGTTAAAATGAAATGTCAGTAATTTAGACGAAAATTTATCCATCGCACCCTGTATATATACTGAGAAAGAGAGAGTATATTTTGGTAGCAACTCTTCTTACAAGACATGTCTTATTAAAAATCTTTTCTTCATTCGAACAAGGCTAATTAATGATATGGATTTAGCTCTTAAACAAAAAACAACAACAACCCTTTTAAAAGAAAGCGCTTTTAAAATACATTTGAATTTCTTTTCTTCCCAGTATATGCGTAGGTGATGCAATGAATAGCAGAGAGATCAGTTCGAATTCCAGTCAAGTTCGCCACATTCATTTACGCGCAAATAGCTGCTATCTCCTCCTCCTATGAGTTAAACAGTACTTGTAAAAAAAGAAAATCAGCATTATTCTAAAAAATATATTTCGCTCGCAAAAATAAAAAGAATTATTCATTCACTCTATATCGGATTTAGTTAAAAACAGTCGATAAGCCGTAAAAAATAAATCCATCTTTACTTTCTTCCAAGCCCAACGATGACTCATGTGTGTCGAAAATGTGGATCTTGTAAAAATTTCGACAATTTATTACATAACCAACACCCACATTTGCGAAAAATTATTCGCATATTAGAAATAACTATCAGTAAATTTAGACAAAAGGTATATTCTTCTACAGAATAAATGCGAATGTCAGTGTGTCACACTTTTTCAACTTTACTCCTTGAGGCCGTAGCCCAACATATCATACTATTTTGGAATCAGGCCAAATCTGTGAGCAAATTAAAAACTTTCCGGGCCGGATACAGACCCGTAATCCTGAAATTTTGGATTCAAAAGTTTTCATTACTGCGATTTTTTTCGGATTCCGCCATCTTGGCTTCTACTGATAAAACAATTAAAGGGACACAAATCTGTAACTTTCAATAGCTCATCTTCAAATGAAAAAATTACTTTCCTCAAATTACAACGTTTCAGAATAAAATTGTCTGTGTTTTCAACTTTACTCCTAGAGGCTGTAGCCCAACATATAACATTTTGGAATCAGGCCGACTCCGTGAGCAAATTAAAAATATTCCGGGCCGGATCCAGACCTGCACTCAAAAAATTTTGTATTCCTAAGTTTTCATTACTGAGATTGATTTCGGCGATTTTTTACGTGATTTTTTTTTGCGACGAATTTTTGTACGATAACAGTTTTTATAACTTGGAGACAAATTTGTGAAAAATAGAAATTAATTGCGAAAGTCACCCATGAAATAAAAATAATTGTTTGTACAGAAAGTAAGGACCTACGTACATCAAATTTTCTTTAAATTAAGTGGTTGCAGAAGAATTATCGTTGAATTTTTAAAAGGGAAACTTAAATATTAATGCAATACTTAAATGCAGTGATCAATTTTGAGTTCTTCTGTAGTTTATTGTTGCCTATCGCATCTACTCCTCCTTAACTATTGAGATGAAAGCCCAATGAAGAGTCCTCCGTAGGAGCTAGCTTATCTGCCGCTCGATAATGTGGCTTTTAAGCTAGTCCTAATAATATATATAAGAAAATGATTAAAAGGAGAATTAACCACGACAATTGATACATACACACGCACAAACATACACGGGCGCACTCATACTCACGCACACACATACATGCGCACACACATGCATGAACACACACACACACACACACACAGAGAGAAAGACAAATCAACAAATTAGCATAATCACAATTAGTAGCATCCCAATTAGCGTCTAAAATAATGACGATAAACATAACATAAAAATAACAAAAAATGAAAAAGTCCGCAATCAGTCACTGAAACCCCCTGACGAATAGACTGAACAATTACGAAAAAGTTCTATGAAACTCCAGAGTTGAGGTGTTGAATCTATCAACTAACTGACAAATTTTATTTGTATTAATCATATATATATATATATATATATATATATATATATATATATATGTGTGTGTGTGTGTGTGTGTGTGTGTGTGTGTGTGTGTGTGTGTGTGTGTGTGTGTGATAGATAGATAGATAGATAGATAGATAGATAGATAGATACGCGAACGCATTGATTTAGACTTTTAGACTTATGACGTCGAAGAGGGTGAGTTTTCTGCGAGTGATCATTGAATTGATTTGTGCCCTCGTGCAAAAAGTTATCGATTAAAAAAAAATGATAAGAAAAAACAATTGAGGTCTTAAAACATTCAGGAAATTATTTCTGAAAAATCACAAAAATTAAAAAAAATAAAAATAAACAAACGGAAACAAACTACTTACCAAAGAAAAACGCAAAAAGATAACAGTAATATAGATAAACGGACGAAAATTGTATTTGAAGTCCATGTTAAATGTGGCAGTTGGTCACATGACATATCCCTGGTCCTACGTCGAGACGCTCCGATCAAAAATCGTAGTCGTCAACCTCTAACTTGTAACGTATGTAAATGTTATCGTCGTTGCTGTTCTGAAATAGTCGAACTTTCTTCTGGTCCCTTCCCAGCTGTTACCGATCAAACCGTATCTATGAGGTGACGTCCGTATCCGTGAAAAACGTATATCGGATTTAGCCCGGCCATTTATAGCAAGATCTCATTCTGACGTGTAAACGTACACACATGTTTACATGTGTGTGCTTATTAATAATATCATTGAAAATTCACTAATCGTTCATACAAGCAGTACGTTGGATTTAAGAAAATAAAATGAAGAAAACTATAGTCAAATTCTAACTTCTTCACGTTCCATAAATATATGAGATTTAAACGATACCTAGCTTCTAATTTTCTCTGTATCGGCGATCATAGCTCTCCACAACTTTCTGGCTTTTGTAGCTCTTAGCGATGTTTCTCTTTGTATTATACTTCCCATTCCCTGCTCTGTTATTCATTTACACAAGCTGTCAGTGTTATATGCCCCAAACCTTCTTTCCACATTATGTGTCCTAGAAATTTCTATTGTTTTTTTTTCTGATTTTAAGTACAAGGGTCTTTTTTATTTCCATTTGTGTGTGTGGGGGGGGTGCATTCAATCGTTTAAATCAATAACGGTGCAAGAGGAATTATCAAGTTCTTGCAGCCATCATCGCCAATCGGATCCCGAATTATCATCAGTCACGATGAACGAATGTCCCCTCAGAGAGGACCCGTGCCTTGAGAGCTATTAGGCCTTAAATTCACCACAGACGTCAAGCGGAAATTGTACATACGATCCATTGCAAGAAAAATGGTCGCTTCCCTGTACCGCTCCAGTAAGTATCTGACTCCTCGTGCTATACTCTACTTTTCCAAGATCCAGATCAGGCCTAAAATGGAGTACTGCTGTCATATTTGGGCAGGAGATGCCCAATCCACACTTTCCAGTCTTGATAGAGTCCAAAAGTATCTCCGTGTCCTTGTGGGTGACTAATTATTATCCACCAAGCAACCCCACTTTGACACGCGGGATGTTGTAAGCTTCTCACTGCACTATCACCGCTTTCGTGGAAAGTGCTCGAGCGAACTGCATTCGTTGGTTCCGCCAGAACCCGCGGCTAGGACCCGCCATGCTACTCACATTGTAGCAGACCACCCTCATTCACTCCTTATTGAATTGGTGAGATGTAAGTTCCACTCGAGCAGTTTCTCCCAGCGAACCACTGCTCTGTAGAACCGACTCCCAAGGGGATGCTTCCCCGATCACTACAATCTTAATCTGTTCAAGTCTCGTGTTAAACGTTATCTTCCCCACCTATCTGCATAAACTGTGCCTCTTATTCTGTAACCCTCTACCTCGAGTGATCCCGGGCCTTGTACAGGGTGAACCACGCTGTAAAAAGTAATAAAATATCAAAAAATAAAAATAAAAACAATACATAAGTTGTAGAACAATTTTAATGGCACCAAAACCACAGATATAAACTGGTAGGTCACCTGCTAGGAAAGTTAGTTCACTGTGTCGTGCCAGACAATTTTTCTCGTCAGAATCCATTTTGCACATTTATAAACCATTCCTTCCGTTCCTTGAATATTGCTGCCATATCTGGTCTAGTGTTCCTGCTATATAGCTCGAGATTCTTGACAAAATTAAAAAGAATAATCTGTAATATAATAGATCCTGATCTGGCATCTCGACTTAAGTTAATTTCCCACCTACGTGACCAGGCTTCCCTCTTTCTTTTCTACAAATATTTTCATGACAATTGTTCTGATAAGCTGTTCTCCGTAGTGCCTCGACTGCAGGAATTTAAGCGTGTTACTAGATTGGCTATTAAGTCTCAATGTTTTACTGTTGAACTAGCTAGATGCAACCGTATGTTCTATTCTGATAGTTTCATTTTGTTGTTTTTTTCACACCTTATCAACCGTTTATGGATTATTTAATTATTTATGTTAGAAAAGTCATTTTCCGAGTGAATGTTGCATTAAGGATCCTATTATTTAAGCCATAGCCAGGAAAAGAAATAAATATATGTCTGATCCATTTGCATGTAAAAGAAGTCAACATACCAAATTGGAATTCGAACTCGACTCTAAACTTTCTAATTACGAATCGCTAGCCATTACACTATCCGCACATCCTAATAAAAGAGACCGTTACTCGAATACTAATAGCTCGTGTAAGCAACAGAAATCCTGCTGCGTGGAAACTATGGTAAATAGCCTATAAACTTCCATGTTATACAAAGGAAGTACTCGCTACCCAACCGACAGAGCTACTATTTAATCTGTATATGCATTTGTAGTCCATAAATTAATTAGTAAAATATTCAAAGGACTTATCTTTTTGACCAACTCCAGACTTTCGCGTAAAAACGTTTATCATGGACAGAAGGTACGATTTCGGAGTTGGTCAATGAGACAAGTCCTTAATATTTACTAATTAATTTATAGCCTGTTGTCGCTCGAGGTATCTATTGAGCAAGTTTCTGACAAAAATTATGCCGGCCTTACAAAATACGTTATATTCTAGTAAATTTTACGTATCTAAAAATGTGCCATTCTAAGAAAGAGAATGAGAAAGCTTTAGTGAGGAGAAAGGACAATAAAAGAACGTTAGCTCTTGATGACAGAAAATGACGATTGTCGTTGCATTTAAAATTTTTAAAGATAGTATGTAACAAGGAAGTAAGAAACCGGAAAAGGTTTCCACAGACGAGAAGTGCGAAATTTGTGCACATATGATTTGATAGATATATAGGTATACGTTATTATTGTTGCATATATATATATACATATATATATATATATATATATATATATATATATATAGTAAAGGTAATAAAACCGTTGTTATGTAATCCAAGTATATTCTAATAATATAAAATATTAAAATTGATCTGCTAAAAGAGCTCAATGTATTTATTATTACAGAGCATATAATTATATAATATGTACTAATCATTTGCTCTGTAATAATAAATACATTGAGCACTTATCTTATTTGTTCTGTAATAATAAATACTGTTTGGCCAACACAAGGACTGACTAAAATCCATGTTATAAAAGTAAAAAATAAAAAAAACAAATGAAAACTACAGATAAAGTTCATTTTATCCATCAAGTCATTCATTTCTGTAGTTCACTGCTACCAGCAAGCAGATTTTTTTCTCCTGATGATGGCCATGTTGGCCGAAACTAGTTGAGAAATTTAACTGAAATAATAAAAACGAAAGAATATTGATATACAACGCAGTGTGTCTGAAGATTTTAATTTTTTTATTGTTCAACACACACACACACGCATATATATATATATATATATATATATATATATATATACTTTGTCATTAATTTTCTTTACATATTATATATATATATATATATATATATATAAAAATCAATGAAAAGGGATTTTTTTTCTTAGCATTGCTCTGAAAGAGAGAGAGAGAGAGAGAGGGAGAGAGAAAGAGAGAGAGAGATGGGTATGAATAGGAATCCGACAAAATGATAGGATAAAGAACAAGTAGGAAACAGGTCTTAATCTGACATATTTCACTTTATTAAAGCTTCGTTAGAAAGATAGAAATGATATAAAAAAATATTTAAAAAAAGCAAAGACACATATTAATGGTATGTTGTGTTTGGTTATATATATATATAACACAGCTCATTCGCGTCTAATAAAACACATAGACCTGTAAATTACCGAAGTTTAGCTAGCTAGTTAGATATATAGATAATGAACCTACTTTGATAGATAGATAGATAGATAGATAGATAGATAGATAGATAGATGATAGATAGATATGAGTAAACTGGCATAGCGAGATCGATATGAGTTGTTGATTTGTTGATTGATTGATGCCTCTTAAGTTTTACAATGGACGAGAGTAACAGCTTTCACTTGGTAGCACAACCTGAACAAGCAAGGCCTTTATGGCTTGCCCAACTGTTGGCACACTTGCTTTTCTCTCAACCATTGTTGCAAACCAATGGCTAAACAACATGTCAGGATTTGTAACGATGTGACAAATAATATGTTTATACTTTACCAAATAAACCTGAACAGCCTCAGTCATCATTTGGACTGCGCTCTGCTATTCTGTTACGCCACACCATATGTGCGCGCGTTTTCCAAACTATCCGAAAGTAGAAGACTTCTGTGAATCTCTACGTAAAATAGCTCGTCTGTCAACTGCTAACCGAGAAAGTTGGAACCAATTTGGTAAAGAATGTTGTTTATCGCTATAGTACGTGTGGGAAGCAAGGAATTCAGATCGTCCTAAAAGCCTAATGAGGGTTTATATAGTACACGGATATTATCTGATGTTTCCATAATTTTTTCATCAACAATAAATAACACTGGCCTACAAATTTATATTTTTTTAATGTTGCAAGGGATACCATAGCTAATTTTAAACAATTCTGTAGTGTTGAATTCGTATATCATATTCATTTTTCTCAGTTAGGTCTAGTCTTCATGCTTCAGATGATGGCCAAAAGCAGGAAAATGCTTCTTTTTTTAAGTCATATTGTAGCGGTTATATTACCATTGTTGTTGTGAACGTTGAACGATGAACGTTGCGGTCATCATTATTGTAGTAATATGGGGTACCATTATTTAACTTTGGCTAGGAAAGATGAGATTCAGGACAATACGTGAAAGCAATGCAATTTATACTTGACAGCACATAGAATAAAATACAAAACTGAACTGAATGATTCCAAAACATAACAATTAGGTTTATTAATGTTTGATGTACATGTATGCGAACTGAAAAGGTAGGACAGAGTCGTGTCCCTTTGATTAGGTATTAGTTGTACCGGAGTTCATATTAAGAAAGTTTGGAATTGTGAGTTGCGAAGTTGGTAAAAGTTCAGGAGTGATTTCAGAGTTCGTGAATGTTGGTAATTGTCTTTAACGTC